GGGGGTCCCGGGGGAGGCACCGGTGCAGCTGGGAACCCCTGTGCTGGGGGGTGTTGGTGGGGGACGCCTCTGCGGGGGCTATGGGGGGAGCTTCTCCCCCCTTTGCTTCTCGGCGAAGAAGCCCCTCACGTTCCTCCCTTCGCCCCCCTCCCGCGGTGCTCCCCCGGGGGGGGCAGGGAGGGGGCCATGTCCGTGTGTGGGCATCCGCCACGGGAGGTTTGGGTGACCGGTTGTGCCATCCTTGGGGGGGGACAGTGGTGTCAGGGTCAGGCCAGGCCTGTGGTCCCCAAAGCGCTGTCACAGTCCAGTCCCTCCCATGGGCCTGGAGCTGACAAACCCCGGGCTGAGCAGCCTCTGCCCACGGAAAGCCCAGCACGGGGCGGGCAGTGGGGAGCTGTGGGTGCCACGGTGGAGCCTCAGCTCTCCCTTCTCCTCCGGGTAAACACCATCGCGGCTGCGTGCTCCTGGGCCACCGGCCCTCCCTGCCCACGTAGCCCTACTGCACTGCACGCCTGCCCAGGCCTTGAGGACTGCATTCCTGCTGGGGGTTTATGCTCCAGACCCCTCCAGAGCCCTGGTTGTAAGCGAACACAATAAGTGGCTGATTGTTTTCTGTGTGTCATGTCCTTTGGGATGGAGGGAGAGTGGCAGCGCCGTGCCACGAGCAGCCGCAGCCTTTCCCTCCCCGCGAGGACTCAGCAGAATTGATGTGGCTCCTGCCTGCCCTTGAGTGCGTGGAAGGCCCTGGCGAGTGGCTCTTGCCCACCCTGGCCCTCTGCTCGCAGGGTGCCCCCTGTGCCTTGATGTCCCCAGCCATGACATGGGAGGGACGTGGATGGGGTCAGGCTGTGGGGTATGTTTGCCACCCAGGGACGAGCCCAGTGGTGCTGGTGAGATGGTTCTTGGCCATGAGCTGTCCCTCCTCAGGGCTCTGCTCCCATCGAGGTGTTGCTTGTTCTGGTGTTTGCCCTGGCACGGAGAAGCCGCAGTGAGCCCAGAGCTGGGGGAGGCAATGGCTTGGGGGGGTGGTTTAGGGCAATGCAGGCCAGACACCCAGCATGCACTGAAACACCTTATTTTCCAAGCACTGCTCTGAGTTTTTTGGGTTTATCTCAGGTCCCCGTCGCTGTTAGCCATGGCTCTACTCCAGCTACCCCCTAGCATTGAGCAGGGTGGGGGCCCAGACTGTCCCCCCCGCATCTGCTTGGACTTGGGTAGTGTTTCTGGGCTTTGTGGGGTGGGATGTGGAGGGAGGAGAAGCCAGCTGCCTCCTGACCCTCAGCTGACAGGCAGACGTGGGAAGCTGAACACCTCGTGACTGCCCTGCTCTGGCTCTTCCCACCCCTCCATCTGGGCAGAACGTGGGCTGGGGGCTGCTGCCCACCCCCCTGGCCTGTGGGAAGGCGAGGAGCCGGTGTGGCAGCATCTTTGGGCCAGGTGGAGGCAGAGGTTAGGCATGAAAGTCATTTTGCTGAACCGCAGCCTGGCGCTGGGGTGAGCAGGAGCCCTTGGAGAGGTGCCGCCGTCCCAAATCGGCCTCGTTTTACCTTTGGCAGACTTGGCTGCGGAGGGGGAGCTGCCTGGGTCGCTCTGACCCGGCTCTATCTCTGGTGTGGAGTGTGGCTGCCCCGCTGAGGGCTGCCAGGGACCATCTGATCTGTCCCCACTCCTGTCTTTGTGGCCGAAGGAGTCGGCTGGGTTTGCAGCCGAGGTGTGAATCCATCCGGACGAGCTCTCCTGGGTGCAGAGCTACCTGCCCAGCGCCTCCTCTGCTTTTCACAGCTTTCCTGCCTGCCTTCCTCTCCACCTTGCCTTATCGACCGTGTCTTGTCCCCAGTGTCCCCCTCGATATCGAGATCTGGAGGTGCTGGAGTGAGTGCAGAGGAGGCAACGAAGCTGGTGAGGGGGCTGGAAAACAAATCGTATGAGGAGCGGCTGAGGGAGTTGGGGCTGTTTAGTGTGAGGAAGAGGAGGCTGAGGGGAGACCTCATCACTCTCTACAACTACGTGAAAGGACACTGTAGAGAGGTTGGTGCTGGTCTCTTCTCACAGGTAATTAGTGACAGAACGAGAGGGAACGGCTTCAAGCTCCAACAGGGGAGGTTTAGATTGAACATTAGGAAGGAATTTTTCACCGAAAGAGTGGTCGGGCATTGGAACAGGCTGCCCAGGGAGGGGGGGGAGTCCCCATCCCTGGCTGTGTTTAAGGGCCGTTTAGATGCAGTGCTGAGGGACATGGTGTAGGGGAGGACTTTGTAGAGTAGGGGAGATGGTTGGACTCGATGATCCCAAGGGTCTCTTCCAACCTAGACCATTCTATGATTCTAAGGTGTCTCAGCACCCCCGGGGAGACATCCCCTCTTTGCACTTCACCAGAGGGGGGCCGTTCTCCCCCTCGCAGCTGCCCCTTGTTGCTGGAATGTGAAGGCAGAGCCTGTCATTTCCCATGGCCGGCAGCACAGACCCCTCTTTGTGCCGTAGCGGGGGGCGAGGGAGGGCTTGGCTCCGTCCCGCCGCCGACAAACGGCAACTGTTGGCCCTGCTGTGCCAAGCCGGTGCCATCTGGAGCGTGTGTGATGCCCGGTGCCACCTTTACCACCGCTGCCCTCCCCTCGGCCTCCCTCCCCTCTGAATTGGGGCTGTTTGAATGAGGTTTTTTTGCCACTAAAGGCAGGTCTGTGGCTCCGTGCAAGGCTGCGAAGCTTTTGGTGGCTGCAGCCGTGGGGTGTTAGACCCTGACACGATGTCCTCTGCCTCTCTTGGATTTTCTGCTCGTTCTGAGTGTGTTTCCTCTGGGATGAGGCACATCAGTGTGTCCCCCCCCTCAACCCCCGCCTCTCTTGGATTTTCTGCTCGTTCTGAGTGTGTTTCCTCTGGGATGAGGCACATCAGTGTGTCCCCCTCCAACCCCCAGGTCTCCTCCAGCACCAAGGTGACGGGGCACGTTCCAGGTCAGGGCTCGCTTCCCTCTTTGCTTTGCTTTAAAGTGCTGTTGTGGAGGCGCTCTGGTCCTTGTCTGACCTACTTACTTACATCTGGCTGCTTGGAAGGAAGGCAGATTTGCTCTGCCAAAGAAGTAGCTTTGTGCTGGGAAGCGAAGGTGGGTGGGGAGGGGGGGGGGAAGGTGCCCTCCTAACGAGGGGCCGAGCGTGTTGGGTTTCTCCCGCTGGCTTTGCCAGGGCTGCTCTGGCACGAGCGCAGCTCCCAGGGCTTGCTCCTCGCTCTGATGTCCTGAGCTTGGTTCAATAATTAAATGGTCTTTTCCAGAGCTGGCTTCTTCACCACCAACCTCAGCGGGAGGGGGTGGGCTGTGGTACTGGGAGACGAAGGCTGCTGGTGAGGGTCTCTCTCCGTGGAGCTCTGTGTTTTGGTGCTGGGGTTTGGCTGCTTCTCTGCTTCCCTTTGGCCTGTTCCCCTTCCTTCCTCTGGTGTCTCCCACATGCAATACCATAACCCTAGAAATTCCTGCTGCTCGGCAGGACTGGCTGCACCGGCCGGAGCTGTGGCAGCCACCGTGGTGCCCGGGGCTCAGACTCTGCCTCCGGCAGCCCCGGGGCGCTGGCAGCTCAGGGGGGGGATGCTCGGGGGGGAGTGGAGAGGAGAGAAGCTGCTGGGTGGGTGTGGAGGTTTTCCAGGGAGCTGCGCTCTCCCCTTTTCCAGCGGGAGCAGGTGAGGTGAGTTGGAAACGCTGCGGGGCAGGGCTGGCCCACAGTGTGGCCCCCGGGCAGTCTGGGCCGTGGGGAGATGGACGTGGGCGTCGTGCCGGGACGCTGCGTGCCGGGATTCGGTGCTGCCACGCTTGAGTCCTTGAGAGATCCAACCTGCTGCCATGGAGCTCCTGCAGTGACACACACTTGTGCCCGTCTCTGCTTTCACCAAAGCAGCCAAGCGCCTTCCCTGCATGGCCAGTGGTTTTTCCTCCTTCCAGCTTGGGGCTTAAACCCTCCCTGGCCTGGGCAGAGGCTGGGTTGGTGGCCCGGTGGCACTCGTGGTTTGCCTGGCAGTGACATGGTTGTGTCTGCGAGGACTGTCTGATCCCGTCACACCCCGTTACTACATCCCGTCTCGAAGCAAACCCTCCTCTCCCTCTGCGCCGGCTGTAAATTTGCAGCGTGTTCTTGGCACCTCCCGACCTGAAAAGCAGCCGAGTGTGGATCCGACCGCACGGAGAACTCGCCCTGACGGGGCTTGGCTCGCTTTCCCCTTGGCATGGACACGGGCGCTTCCTTCGGGCTCTTACACCTCCCGCGGCTGTGGCTGCTGCCAGGCCCCTCACCACCTTCAGCCTCCATTCCCAGCGAGGGCTCCGCTCCCCATGCACCCTCCTGTCCATCCTACAGCCTCGATCAGCACTTTCCATAACATTTCTGCAGCTTTAGGGTCTTGCACAAACATCAAGTGTGTACGTGTGTCCCAGAATAACACCTAAGTGCTGGGTGTTCTATGGCAGGTTGTCAATTTTCTCCTAATGACTCCAAGTGCCAGCCTGGTTAGAGGAAAGATGCGTTTCTTTAGCCAACTGAATTTTTTTAGAAGCGGTCAGCGATGCCTTCCCGAGCGGTGGTTTCCTTTCTGCGAGGCCGTTGTGGCTTCGGGCTGGTTGAGGGTGACTTTATTCTGCGGCAGGGACTGTGCCCTTCCAGCGGGCACCTCCCGCCAGCGCCCGGCGGCTTGCACTCTGCCTCGGTTACTCGCCCTCTGTGTGTTCTGGATTGCGAATCAGCTCCTCTCTGCTTGGCCTTTGCCTAGGAAAACCCTGAGAATACTTGGCCGGGTTTGGTGGAACAGCAGGAGACCTCATGCTTGTCTCCATCAGGGCTGTTTC